AGCTATGTTCCTTTGGCTTTTTCTCTATGGATGACACAGTGCGTAGACTCATATTCAGAAACTACCTAAGGAGCTCCAAGTGGTACAGCCGGTTACCGCGGGGCACTTATACACAGAAGTGACCTGTTTGACCTGAGTAGTGAAACCAGTCATGGCAGCTGCTCTGTCCATGTGTATGCTGGCACAAAATGACCAATTTGATTTTTCTGATATGTAGTCATTCATAGACTAGAATAGTTCTGCAGCTACGCTGTTGGTTGGTAATGAAAGCTCACATAACATATCCTCATGCGCATCCCCTGAAAAATAGATCACAGATAAACAAGCATTGTTGCCTTGCTGTCAACACAGGTAGACTCGTCAACCTGGATTGTGTGCACCCTGGTGGCTCATTAATCCCCTTTTACAATTGTGTCTCAGTGTCCTCTGCTGTTTCATCAATTCATCGAGTTATGGTGCTAGCCGAAAGACGACCACCTGCCACCTTTTGAACTGCAGCCTCTCCTAAAAGTTCACCACAAATGTCCCTAGTGGCAGGCAGGATCAGCTTTTCACCAATAGTAAAGGGCTTCTGAGCTTCAGCAATGAGGTTAGTCACTAAGAATGATGCACTCAGAGCAGACACATTTGATGAAGCGCCAGCCTTCAATAATTGCCTGTGTTATTGGTATACACTTTTCTTTTTCTTTTGAAAACTCCAAAGACTTGTCTTTTAATGCAGGGTGCATGGTCTCCACATGGCAATGCAGTTTTGAAGGAAGGTTTCATGGCTTCCTTGGATAGCTAGGTGCCACATATACAAAGTGGACTTGGAGAATGGGAATTGCTTGTTGCAATGAATCCATAATTTAAGTAGGACTTGGTATTTTCTTTCAAATGCAGCTTTCGTTTTGTTGGCAGTCTTAGAATCTGCTTTCTCATGATTGGGTCTTCCCCCTTTTCAAAGAAGCTCTCCTGTTACTCATTTTGGCTAGGGTTAGCCTGTGGGCTTACCAAAACTGTGACTGAGACAAGTGCATAGTGTGGGAAAGAGGTGCAGATGGAAGTGACAAACGAAATAATAGGCAGGCCACACGTGGACTAAATACATGTCAGATTCTGACTTAAAGCCTGCCACCAGAAGCAGCTATGCAATTGAAGTAAATCGGCTCACCTGCCACTGGATGCAGCTTGTCACTTGCCACTCACTGAGAGAGTTTTGATATGAGTCTGCAAGCAGTTACTTTACGATGGTCTCTGTGCAGGGAAACTTGTCTGCTAATGATAATCTGTATTTGCGGCCACTGCCCAGCGCTAGCACCACCCCCTCAGCTCCGGCTCGGGTTATCAGTCATTAGTTAGATTTTCATCAGAAGCGCACAACCCAGATCCCTGGCAAGTGCAGTCCACAATAGGGTTTGCGCTCCATGAGAATCTGATGCCACTTCTGATCTGATAGGAGGTGGAGCTCAGGCAGTAATGCCAGTGATGGAGAGCAGTTGTAAATACGATGAAGCTTCGCTCACTTGCCACCGCTCACCTCCTGCTGTGTGGCCCAGTTCCTAACAGGGATGGCCCAAGGGTTGGGGACCCCTGCTCTAAGCCACTGTCTATCATATGTGCTCCCACAATGCAACTCAACTGTAGAAGAGAAAGTAGTTTCTGTCTTCAACATGCTTAAATTTTTCTTGGGCAAGATATTTTAGCTAAATGAAAATTCCCACTATTAAGAAATAGGAGGCCAGGCACAGTGGCTCATGCCTGTAATCCCAGCACTTTGGGAAGCTGAGGTAGGCAGATCATTTGAAGTCAGGAGTTCAAGACCAGCCTGACCAACATGATATAAAGCCCCATATCTATTAAAAATATAAACCAAAAAAAAAAAAAATTAGCTGGGCTTGGTGGCACATGCCTGTAGTCTCAGCTACTCTGGATGGTGAGGCAGGAGAATTGTTTGAATCCAGGAGACAGAAGTTGCAGTGAAAACAAGATCATGCTACTACATTCCAGCCTGGGAGACAGAGTGAGACTCTGTTTCCAAAAAAAAAGAAGGAAGGAAAGAGGGAGGGAAGGGCAATGTTCCCTTACACAAGGAATCCCACTGTGTTCATTGATTTTCTCAGTTAAGTAGAGTACTATAGTTCTTAAATATGCTAGACTTAACACTTATTTAACTAAAATTGAGTGTTAAGTTGGATAAATAGTTTTCTAAATTAGCTCCTAAGTAGAAAAGCCAGAAATCAGCTATAGGTAATCTTTTTCTTTCAAATACTTTAAATTGCCCATAAAGCAAAAAGTTGTTGATTTTGTGAACACATATCATAGGATTTCTTATGCACACTCAGTTTTGAGAAGTACTAACTAAGCAAGACTAGAAGAAAAAGCCAAAGAAACATTGATGTACAGATGTCTGGACATTCACACTGTTCTTGAACTAACTTTCAGATCTGTAGTGAGGACTAGCAGAGGGTGAAAATTCCATAATGTCATAGCTAGATAATGCCATGCAGTCTTAGTATCAAACCTGTTCACACATTGCTCCTTTTCATTGTATACCTTTTAATTGTTTGACTTTTTTGAATACGCTCATTAAATGTTTTAGATAAAAACGTCAAAAAATTAAAAGCACATATGCCTTAGTAACTTTAGAATCTGTAAATAAATTTGTTGTAATGATTAAACGAAACAGTCCCATCTTTAGAGAGGCTTAGGAGAGGATTAGCAGTTGAAGAGTAAATGAAATATTTCTATGGTGCCACTTCAATGTAGAAGATGATTTTTTTAAATAACATTGTTACATATGTTGCATTCTTGGAATTCAGATGCTATAGTTTAACCATTACGCAACAATGATAAAATATATGAGCAAGTGTGTATTAATACAGTAATACAAAAAATAGTTTACTGTCTATTTGAATACCTACTGTCCTATAGCATTGTTTGGTATTTTTAAAAATAGTGACCCCCAACCTTTTTGGAACCAGAGCAGCAGGGACCAGTTTTGTGGAAGATGATTTTTCCATGGACTGGGGCGAGTGGTGGTGGGGGCAGTAGATTCTAACGCAAGGTAACTCTCTCTCATGCACAGTTGACAATAGGGTTTGTGCTGCCATGGAAGGCTAATGCTTCCCTGGTCTGACAGGAGGCAGAGCTTAGGTGGTAATGCTCCCTTGCCAGTCACTCACCTCCTGCTGCTGTGCAGCCTGGTGCCTAACAGCCTACAGACCAGTAATGGTCTGCAGCCTGGGAGTTGGGAACCCCTTAAAAACTGAGTTCCCGAGGTGAGTGGATCACCTGAGGTCAGGCATTCAAGAGCAGCCTGGCTAACATGGTGAAACTCTGTTTCTACTAAAAATAAAAAAATTGGTCAGGCATGGTGGTGGGCTTCTGTAGTCCCAGCTACTCGGGAGGCTGAGGCAAGAGAATCACTTGAACGCAGGAGGCGGAGGTTATCATGAGCCAAGATCACACCACTGCAGTCCAGCCTAGGCAACGGTCGGAGACTCCATAGTAAAAAACAAGCCAAAAAAAAAAAAAAAAAAACCTCAGTTTCCTCTCCAAAGTATCACTGTTTAAAAAGACCCTCAAGTAAAGTCAGTGTTCAGCCTGTGTTGAAATCTAGTTATTTTAGGTTCTGAAGCATTTTAGGGGCATTATAGAAGGAAAATTTCTGAAAGACAAACTGAGTGCGTAAGAGAGAGCAAGTATGTGCGTGCGGGTGCGTGCGTGTGTGTGCGTGCGTGCATAGGCGTGATTGCACATACTGGGAACATACTCTGTTCAGGGACCAGTTTGGAAGATACTGGTTGATATGTGACTTGGGACTAGATGTGGTGTCATCTGAGGGAATGAGTGATAAGCTGTAAGTCTGAGAAAGATGAGAGAAAACTGGAATCATTGGGACTCAGTTGTTGCGCTAACATGGATATTGAAGGAGAAAAGAGAATTACAACCTTGCCTGAAGTTGTGGGACGGAGACCTGGGCATATTTTTAGCTGTGTCAGGTTAAGTTAGGCTGTACTTTGAAGTGACACTGAGTACATTCCATTTTGGTACGTTAAGTTCGTTCTGATGGTGACAGACAACAGGGTTTGATTGCTTAGAAAGACACAGGAACTGAAATGACACTGCTTACAGATCTAGAATTTATTACAGGAAAAAGATACAATATACAACAGCACTAGATTGAAGCCTGCCTCCAGGAAGGAGTCTGTTGATGCCAGGCTGAGCTCCAGCAGCCCCTCCTCTGTTGGGGACACACACTTTCTCACAGGTCATAATCATGACCTATGTGTGCAACACTCAGAGCCAGGGGACCAAGAGGGGCTATCTGCCAGCTTGTTTTACACCCTGTTGGTCACACAGACATTTTCTTGCCTGTAGCCAGCCCCAGCGGGAGAGCCTTCCAGGGATTCTCACCTAGACCCTGTGCAAACCACCCCAGTCTCACTTTACCAATCAGCAATGCTGACAAGCTGGCATAAACAGCCCCCCAACTCCTCAGACACATGGAACAAAGCAGCACTATTATTAGCGGGTGTGTTTTATGCCCTGACCAGAGTGCCATGCAGGTACATTTCTTACTTCACCAGAACAGCTCACACCAGCCCCGGGTCTGCTGGAATGAGCCTTCGAAGCAAGAGTGTTAAAGGTCATTTGGGATATTCATGTGTGTTGTATTGTATAGAATACTGCAAGTGTTATAAACCCCATTGTGTGCACGTGTAGCTGAATATACCACAGTGTAGCCATTCTTGCAGGCATATCATATCCCTTTTAGAACCTCTAGAAAGGTAATCTGGTGGTGGTATTTCATTTTCCCTGTGAAATTAGTGTATACTTCTTAACTTGTAATTTGTTATGTTCAACCTTTACAGTTTAAAAAAATCAAATTCATAAATTTCGTAAGATGGAGCGTTGCAAAAAACCCTTCAAGTTTATTGAAAGCAAATGACACGTTTTGTATTTTAAAACTTACTCAGTCTCTAATTGTGTTTTCCCCCTTCCTTCTCTGTCCCCAGATGAAGCGGCTCCTAAGGAAGTCAGCAGGGTAAGTAATGTGAATGTTATTTCTACTACTGCAATGTAGGAAATGAATCTTTTTTGTGTATTTTTCAGTACTCTTAACACATTAAGGAATTAGAAAAATAATGGCAAAAACTGTGTTCCCTCTCCAAAGTGTCACTCATTAATATGGAATAAAGTCAGTAGAGAGGTTGCAAATAGCAGCTTCAAATCTGAGTACAGCACACAGGTGGATTTTGTTTGGTCTGCACCTGCTTATGGGGTTTTCTGGATCAGTTGCTGACATTTAGAAACTGTATATAAAGACTGGATTTCTGGATTCTCTTGAGCCAGAAGGTAAGGTAACACCAACACAGCACTCTCATAGGGTGGCAGTCTTCTCGGGGCGAGGAGTGGAAGCTGCCTTCAGATGCATGATGCTCTCCAGTCAGCCCCAGTCCTCTGCGGCTGGCTTCGCTCATGTCCACTACCTGCCCAACCTCTGCCTTTGAGTTCATGCACTTTCTTTTCGGGAGAACAAAAGATGACCACTCATGTGTTGAAAGCATGATATTGCTTAGAACTTTTAGAAATCTTAAAGGTACTATTTTCATGTCCTAGAGAAATAATTAGTGTTATCTTTAAGAGTCTTAGCAAGCTTAAAAACTGAAAGCATTTAGCATATTGTTTATGCTATAAAAGTATAAGTGATTACATTTGAAAAAAGTATCTTAGTTTTTCTGTATTATGCAGATAAAGATCTTCAGATTAAATACTGAAAATAGTAAGTTTGACTTTAACTTAATGCAACCTTATATATCACTTTTTATTGTAAGATATAAACTGAAAAACTGTTAATAGAATCACATATGCAGATATATTCCTTTATTTTTGATCATCTGAAGAAAGAAATCTCTAAAATGACCTGGGCCTGTGCTGGGGGGTAGGGGATTTGGAGGTAGGAGAGGGCAGAATTCCTTCTGTCCACAGCAGTGTAGGAGACTTGAGGTTTCTGTGAGTCTCGGGGTTTCACTGGGTGCCTTTGCTATTAATTTCACATTTGTGGAGCTCACAACTTTGGTCTGGCTGCCCAAAAGGGACCCGGATGTGATAGAAGAGTGAACAGCAGCTGCTAGGAACAGCAGAAAATGCTAAAAAGTGACAGTTGAGGAGAAGATAGGTACTTTGAAAAGTGAACTTTGGCAGAGTCATAAAATATTACAGTGCTGATATTGCCAAAGCTGCCATGTGTTCAGACAGTGTCATTGACAGTACCACATACTGTCTTATAAGGCTGTTAGAAAAAAAAATGATGAAACTATATGTAGTGGGGTTGGTTTTTTTTTTTTTGCTATTATTTATAAGATTCTCTTACATTATGCCAAATTTGGAGAAAAGAACATTTCTAATTGAGAAATATTAAAGGCATAAGCTGATACCCTAGAAATGGTATCAGTTTCCAAGAGCTCTATAAAGTTTGTTTGAAAAAATGTACCCCATATCTTGATCAATGCTTATTTGATTAATACTCAGAGTTTCCTTTATGAAATAGATTTAGAAATTCCTGGGACAGCCTTTTGGAAGATGGTGACTGGCCGCAGGGCTTCTGTTCTAACACATCCCTGACAGAAAGCACGCTCTTTAGTTCCACTAATGGCGATGGTTACACTCTCAGGCAGTTCTGTTTTGCTTTTGCTTTCTTTCCCACTTCTCTTTTTTCATATACTTTTTTTTTTTTAATTCAGACAGAGTCTCACTTTATCATCCAGGCTTTCAGGCTGAAGTACAGTGGTACAGTCTCAGCTCACTTTAGCCTTGACTTCCTGGGTTCAGATGATCCTCCCACCTTTGCCTCCTAAATAGCCGGGACTACAGGCCTGTGCCACCATGCCCAGCTAATTTTTTGTATTGTTTTCTCTTTTTTAAATAGAGACAGGGTTTATCCATGTTGCCAAAGCTGGTGTCGAGCTCCTGGGCTCAGGTGATCCTCCTGCCTCAGCCTCCCAAAGTGCTGGGATTATCGGTTTGAGCTACTGAGCCCAGGCTAGGCAGTTCTAATTATTATGAAGTACTTTCTCATTTAGAACCAAGCAGCCTCCCAGAATGGCCATTCCCCAGTATTTGTTTTGACTTTTATTTCATATGCAAACTCTTTGAGTATGTGGATGATGTTATTTCTTTTCCAGTAAAACATCTTACTTTCCAAACTGTATTTTCCAGATGCCTCCTTAAGATGTGGTTCGACATTCTTTGGACAAACCATACATTATTAATACATATTTAAAACACTGCGACCTTAACATAGCACCACAGACTAATTGTGTCTTCACCCTGGTGAAAGGAGGTGGGACAGATACCTGTCTTAGTTTGAAACTATGTATCTGTCAATACAGTTTCAATGGATAATTAGTTTTTTTAAACTACATTGCATTTTTGGTTATTGAGCTTTGAATAAACTATCATTATTTTTTCATGAAGTCAAGTCAGACCGGTGGGTCTTATGTCTCTCCCCCTCCCTTTTCCCCATTTTCCCTTTCTCTCTTTGTCTCTGTCTTCTTACTCATCATTCAATGACCAATATTTTTGAGCACTTGTGTTCCAGGCGTTGTTCTAAGGTGCTGTGGCTACAATGGGGAGCAAAATAGACAGTATTCAGGTTCTTATAGCATAGAGGGGAGTGGTGGAAACAGCTCAGAAAATTTATATGATGTGTATATGTGTGTTTGCGTGTGTGCACACCTGTCAGGCAGTGATAAATACATGGAAGAATAAAGCAGCATAAGGGGCTGGAGAGTGATGGCAGGTTTGGAGGAGGCTTATTGGCTTGTTGCACATCTGCAGTGGTCAGGAGAGGTTAATTTCTTCAGGGAAATTTGAGCAGGAATCGGAAGGGAATGAGAGAATCAGCAGAAGGAGGAGATGGCAACTGCAGAGACCCTGAATTGAGAGTATACACAGTAAGAGTGGAAACAGGTAGGCCCAGGGGCAGTCTAGGAGTGTAGGCAGGGGAGGGTGATGTCTAGGGTTAGGGTTGTAATACAGGTAGACCCAGGGTCAATCTAGGAGTGTGATGGGGAGGGTGATGTCTAGGGTTAGGGTTGTAATACAGGTAGACCCAGGGGCAGTCTAGGAGTGTGATGGGGAGGGTGATGTCTAAGGTTAGGTTTGTAATGGTGAACTATGATCAGAGGTTGGGTGTTTAAGAAGAAAGAACAACCTTTGTTTATGGGTTTGTAAACCAAAATGTTTCCGAGACCTGTCTCAGTCAACTTAGAAGTTTACCTTGACAAGGTTAAGGACATGCCCGTGACACAAACTCAGGAGGTTCTAATATGTGTCCAAAATAGTTGGGCTGCAGCTTGCTTTTATGCATTTTAGGGAGACATAAGGCATCAGGCAGTACATGTACCTTGGTTTTATCTCAAAAGGTGGGACAGCTGGAAGCATGGGGGGTGTGTAGCATTCAGGTCATAGGTGGATTCAAAGATTTTCTGATGGGCTGTTGGTTGAAAGAGTTACTACCAAAGACCTGGAATCAGTAGAAAGTCACATCTGGCTTAAGGTAAGGTTTTGGAGACCAAGGTTTTATCATGCAAATGAAGCCTCCAAGTGGCAGGTTACAGAGCTCTTTGACTTAAAAAGGTGCCAGACTCTTAGACTCTCTTGGATCAGAGAAAAGACCTGGAAAGGGAAGGGGCTTCTTTACAGAATGTAGATTTTCTCCACAAGAGACAGCTTTGCAGAACCATTGCAAAATATGTCAAAGAAATATATTAGTGGTAAAATACGTCAGTTCCTTTCGGGGCCTGCTATCTGTCTTGTGACAGTGTTACACGAGATCAGGCTGGAGTTTGGTTTCTTATAGCTACAAAAAGTCTGTCTCATCAATCTTAAAATCTGTTTAGTGTCAGTGCTGTTCGGCTGTGCCTGAATTTCAAAGGGAGGAGGTTATAATGAGGCATATCCCACCTCCTGCCCCCCATCATTGCCTACACTGAATTTTCAGGTCTGCATTGCAATGCCCTTGGCTGAGAGGAGGGTCTTTCAGTCAGTTGAGGAACTTACAGTTTTATTTTTGGTTTATAGTGTATATGGTAAGTTAGATGAGAGGAATCAGTAATGATTTCCAACTTTTTGGTCTGAGCACTTGGTAGAATAAAATTTCTCTTGACTCTTATAGAGAAGACTGTAGGAGGATTGAGACCAGGAAAGTAGTAAGTTTAAGGAATCAGATACGGAATTGGAGATTTTCAGAAAACAAGGACATATGTGGTCCAATTAAAAGGAAAGTTTGTAGGTAGAGATACAGATTTGGGAGTTTCTGGTATATAAATGATGTTTAAGGCCATGGGAGAAGGTGACATTTCTTAGAGAGTTGTCTGTGGAGAAGAGCCAAGACCTGAGCACTAAACGGTGGACACTCCCGCTGTTGAGTGACAGAGAAGATGGGGAAATGTCAGCAGAGGAGAGGAAGGAGGAGAAATCAGTGGTGCAAGGAGACCAAAAAGTTTCTTTGTCAACAGATTTTGTTACAGAATTTTAACCATAGGACTATACATTTATTTTACCTTCATTCCATCTTATTTTGATCCATCTCAGCCTATTGAGATGAGTCTCACAGTCTTATTTCTGTTATCTAACATAGTATTTATTTCTCTATGTTTTGAACCATCAAATTTGAGTGTTTTTTCCAAGTTGTTTTCCTGTGCCCTCTTTATAATAATTGTCATCTAGGAAATGCTGAGTGTGGAAATGTCACCTCAGAATAATAGGAGATTGTGTCAGATGCTTGGTTAAAACCAGTGTATCTTAACCTAATATATTTTTCTAATCAGACATTGCCATTTAATTAACAAATATTAGGTGAGTCCCAATTCATCTAGGCTCTTAAGATACATCAAGGACAAACTAGACAGAAATGCCTGTGCTCGTGGCATTTACATAGTGTGGGGTAGAATCAGTAAACAACAAATAACACATGCACTGTGCTCAGTGGAAATGAGTGCTATGGAGACAGAAGAGTGAGAGGCAGGTTAGATGATGTGG